GAGAAAATGAAAATGAAATCAATAATCTTAATGAATAAAGAGACACAAACTCTAGAGTTAAGTATATCTGAAGTGAAGCCAAAGAAAGAAGAGTCGGTAACTGAGAGGAAGATTGTTGAACAAAGAGATGCGTTCACGCAAACAGACAATAGTTTTGAAATACAAACCGAAAGACTGGTCATTGAAAGCAATTCGACAAAGAGTTTGTGCGAAAATTGCACTAAAGTTATGAAAATAGTTTATACTCTTAAGAATTGTGTGGAAAAATTAGAGGAAAACATCAAATCAAGTGAAACTAAATTTGTGCAACGATTACAACTGTTGCAGACAGAGAATAATGTAAGTGCTCTATGTTTTCATCAATTTATTTACTTAATCTAATAGTTCAGATGATAATATAGGATAAATTATATTATAATAATATTAAATTAATGATTAACATAAATCACCAGTCACAGTCACAACGAGTTTAACATTTTAAATAACATTTTAAATAACATTTTAAATGACTTTGCCATTGAAAAAACTTTTCAAAATTTTATTATCTTTTAAAATGAATCTAATATTTAATATATTTGTTTCAGAATTTGACGGAAAGTATGAATAAGAGATTAAATGAAAAAGACCTTCAATTGATTGAAAAAGAGGAACAAATCAATTATATGCAAAACAGGATAACAAACAACCAATTGGTGCCATCAATGCCACCGATGCCGGGAGAGGAGTCATCTGTCAGTGAGGAACAGATACTTATAAAGACATATAACAAAACTAAACCCCGATACGAAGCACCGCCACAATTATCGTCCAGCTGTAGAAATGTCTTGGAGAGTGTTATCAACTGTTTACAAGTCAGACAAGAATTGAAATCTTTTATTAAGAGTTAAAATGAAATTTCATTTGATTTCAGGCAAGACTTGAACACAAAGATGAGTCTATCCGTCAGTACAGGAATATGTTATCGGAAACCAAACAGAACTTTGAGAATGAGATGATTCGTCTGATAGAAGCGAACCGAGAAAGTGATGACAAGAATTCAATTAATTTCACGCAAATGATAGACAACGAAGAACTACAGAGCGCTCTCAAGAGTTGTGTCAATGAACTCGAACTGTATGTCTGATTAGCTATGATTTGGTGAATAATTAATTTTAATTTAATGTCTTTTGAATATAAGATGTAAAACAGAATTGAATTCAAAAATAAATGATTTGGAGGAAGAATTGGAGCGAAAGAATGCAAAACTGAAAGCATTTCAAAGCGAGAACGAAGAGTTGAAAACCAAACGCATGAATCCAAACACTCAACTCAAACAGACTGTCGAGGACTTGAAAGAGGAGAGTCAGCAAAAGGATCTCCTCATCAGTACATTGAAGAAGAGTATTAAAGACGACAGAGCTATGAGAGCCGTGTCTGCCGTCAGACGTCCCAAAGAGGACGATATCAAAAGAGATAAGAAAGTAGACAATCAGTTGTTCCAAGAGATTGCAGACTTGAGAGCTATGACCGAAACCCAGAAAAACACGATTAAACACTTAGAGGTTGTTAAATGGGATTACGAGAAGAATTTAAAGGAATTAAAGGAACAAATGAAACAAAAAGCGAAGGAAAAAGAGATGGAAATATCAGAACTAAAAGAAAAAATCGATAAAATCAAAGTCAGAATGAATAGGAATGAAAACGAGAAGCAATTGCTGCAAAACAAAGTGACTCTTAGAGAGAAGACTCAGAAGAATAGACAACAGAAATGGACACAAACTACTGGTGCGGTCAGTGAACAGGATGTAAATAAATTGAAACAAGAAATGAAAACGGTTTGAATGCGAAATTTCAAATGATTTTTATTTTATTTTAAAATTAAATTTATTTCTTAAATAAAATTTATACAAAATTTATGTTCAGTTAAGACATGAGTTGAAAGAAAGGGAAAACGAGTCCAATGTGTTGAGAAAGAGCTTAGAGATGAGCGGACAGAAAGAGAGCGAACTGAAGACTCTGTTGGAGGAAAGTGTCAAACGGGAAAAGTTGGCCACAATTCACGAGAAGAATGTCGAATGCGATCAACAGTACGACCACTTGTTGGAGGAGAACGCGAGGATCAAAGTAGAGCTAAGAATGGCTGAGTTCGAGCTCAACAGACGCTCGCAGACTCTGTCCTAATGTTTTAGATTTCGGGTTAAACTCCATTTAAACTGATACTTGAAATTAGATTTATTATATAATTATAATATTCTTAATATTAAATACTATTTAAACGAGAAAATAAAAACTGTTTCATTTCAGTGTAATATAATAAAAGATAAATGAAATTAATGTCATTCTCGAGCGCCGGTATATAAATGTTTGGCTGTTTGAATGAACTTAGGGTTGACTCATCAGGGTTTAACAAAAGAGGTAAATGTATTGAAAACATTAGATAATGTGAATAATGACAGGACTGTAGGCAATCCGGAGACGCTCGCGAGAGAACAAAAACAACGATTTGTAGAGAAGCTACTTCATCAGGTAGTATAAGAGCCCGCGGAGCTCAGGCTTCACTATCAAGGACTCTACCAGAAACTTTCACGCCAGGCAGTCACTGCCGTAACCGCACTGTTGACAGGCGTACACCTTCTGGCCCTCGTGTTTCTTACTCTTCTGGATATGGCGTTTGATGTCTACTATCGTATTGCTGTGCAAATGTCTTTGAAAGTGCGGTCGCAGTCACTGCCGTAACCGCACTGTTGACAGGCGTACACCTTCTGGCCCTCGTGTTTCTTACTCTTCTGGATATGGCGTTTGATGTCTACTATCGTATTGCTGTGCAAATGGTTTTGCAAATGCGATACAAATGCAAAATTAGTTAATTTGTATTTTTTGGGAAAAATATCACAAATGAGTTTAATTGAGTTGTATCTGCATTTCATTCAAACCACAAATCACTTCCATTCCTAACACTTTCCTCTCTTCGACATATTCTTCGAGTTTACCATAAAATAAGATAATAACTGGTCTGGACCTAATAAACTGGTCTGGATTAAATTGATTCACTGAGTTTCATTAAGTTTTATCAGTATTTCATTCAACTCTCATTCAAACCATTATTTACTATATGACCAGAAAGCACGTCATTTCTCAAACTTTTCTCACATATTCCTCGAGTTGACCATCAAATAAGATAATATAAGATAAAAATGATCATTTTTGCATTACCTGACGTACGGACAGTATGGACACTGCGGAGGAATAACAAGACAATTAGCCACAATCAAAACCAGGTGCTGACTGAACAAACCTTGTACTTGGTGTTGGTGTGAGCCTTGACGTGAAAGTCGAGCTTTTCCTGCGAGTTGGTGACGAACCCGCAGTCAGGGAAAGTGCATTTGAACTCAACGTTCTGAGGGGTCATCGCTGGGCGTCTGCCGCGGATCGGTGTGTAAGGAGTGCCCATCATATCCGACTCAGACTTCACTACTCCTCCGGTGATCGATGCGACCGCTGAAGCCGTTTCCGTAGTCATAGCGCCGTTGCTCGAGACGACCACAACGGCCGACCGGTTAGTGGTGGGCGTTATTGTCGTCACTTTGGCCTTCTTGTTGGCCGACGCCATCATCTCATTGACCGCACTTTCAAAGACCATCTCAGGAACTATCACTTCGGACTCGAGGCGCCCGAGAATATGATGGACTACTTCATCGAAGAGATGTTTAGCAACAAAAACAAGAGAGCGCTCGCAGAGGCCTAACTCTACAGTCCTGTCCTGTCATTCACATTATGTAATGTTTTCAATACATTTACCTCTTTTGTTAAACCCTGATATGAGTCAACCCTAAGTTCATTCAAACAGCCAAACATTTATATACCGGCGCTCGAGAATGACATTAATTTCATTTATCTTTTATTATATTACACTCAAATCAAACAGTTTTTATTTTCTCGTTTAAATAGTATTTAATATTAAGAATATTATAATTATATAATAAATCTAATTTCAAGTATCAGTTTAAATGGAGTTTAACCCGAAATCTAAAACATTAGGAGAGAGTCTGCGAGCGTCTGTTGAGCTCGAACTCAGCCATTCTTAGCTCTACTTTGATCCTCGCGTTCTCCTCCAACAAGTGGTCGTACTGTTGATCGCATTCGACATTCTTCTCGTGAATTGTGGCCAACTTTTCCCGTTTGACGCTTTCCTCCAACAGAGTCTTCAGTTCGCTCTCTTTCTGTCCGCTCATCTCTAAGCTCTTTCTCAAAACATTGGACTCGTTTTCCCTTTCTTTCAACTCATGTCTTAACTGAACATAAATTTTGTATAAATTTTATTTAAAGAATAAATTTAATTTTAAAATAAAATAAAAATCATTTGAAATTTCGCATTCAAACCGTTTTCATTTCTTGTTTCAATTTATTTACATCCTGTTCACTGACCGCACCAGTAGTTTGTGTCCATTTGTGTTGTCTATTCTTCTGAGTCTTCTCCCTAAGAGTCACTTTGTTTTGCAGCAATTGCTTCTCGTTTTCATTCCTATTCATTCTGACTTTGATTTTATCGATTTTTTCTTTTAATTCTGATATTTCCATCTCTTTTTCCTTCGCTTTTTGTTTCATTTGTTCCTTTAATTCCTTTAAGTTCTTCTCGTAATCCCATTTAACAACCTCTAAGTGTTTAATCGTGTTTTTCTGGGTTTCGGTCATAGCTCTCAAGTCTGCAATCTCTTGGAACAACTGATTGTCTACTTTCTTATCTCTTTTGATATCGTCCTCTTTGGGACGTCTGACGGCAGACACGGCTCTCATAGCTCTGTCGTCTTTAATACTCTTCTTCAATGTACTGATGAGGAGATCCTTTTGCTGACTCTCCTCTTTCAAGTCCTCGACAGTCTGTTTGAGTTGAGTGTTTGGATTCATGCGTTTGGTTTTCAACTCTTCGTTCTCGCTTTGAAATGCTTTCAGTTTTGCATTCTTTCGCTCCAATTCTTCCTCCAAATCATTTATTTTTGAATTCAATTCTGTTTTACATCTTATATTCAAAAGACATTAAATTA